TTTTTTAATGAATGCAATGGATTATTTATTAAAACAAGGAATTTATCGGTGATCGATTCTTTGGAATTATTTCTCAGTAATTCTTCATTCAGTTCACTTTTAAAATTTGACATTGTATCACACATGTTACTCGCCAATGATTCTATCAATTTTCGAGGGTCTCTATAATCTGATCGATTATATCTGCAGAAATGACAAGCAGCAAGTTTTTTCTTTTCAGAATATCGTCGACACACCTCAGCAGCAAACACACTTTTACCAACGCCAGGACCGGCAATCAAAATCATGACATTAGAAGCATCTTCACTTCTATCGTTAAACCAAGTGTCGAGTTTTTTAAATAACCATTGTCTAGTGCCTTCAAGGTATTTCTTGTTAAGATCCTTTATAAGACCATCAAACTTACACATTCCAAGCTTCTTATGATCAGAACATATTTCGCCCTGTATTATTTCTCTTACTCCAACAACATCAGCTTTTGTAGCCATTTCTTGTTTAATTTCTACTAAATCATCTTCTACTTTATTTTTCATAGCTTCAAAATCATTTTTTAATTCTTGTACATTTTTGTTGGTTTTCTCAGCAACATCGATTAACTGTCGTTCTTCTTCATACCATTCTTTTAAAATTTCAATATAATTTGCCTCATCACGACTGAGGGGAGCTTTCTTTAATTCATCTAGTTCAGTTTGTTGAACACCAAGACCAACTAATGCTTTTGAAATTTCCTGCCACAAGTACTCAAACGTACTGTCATCTACACTAGTTGTGGTTATGTGACCATACACTTTGTTCCGATAAAACTTTATTCTTGCAATGTTTGCTGAGGTTGAAGAATGTTTAGTGGAAGGAAGATTATTCCATCCACAAGGTGGCGCTGTTAGACCACATATGTTACGCAATAAGACAGTCAATAAAGAAATATCAAAGTTTTCAATGTCTGGTGAGCCAGTTGACGGGTAAAGAAGGCTCCACTGCTGTTTGCTGATGACTTTGAATTTTAGTGATGTCAATTTATTCTTTGTAGAAGGATCATTAAGTTTATCTTTTAAGTTTGATGACTGAAGGTTTATAATGCTTTGCAATGTTGTTTTTAAGGCTTGTGTTCCTTTATTGACCAAAAGTTTACTTAAACGAGATCTGTTTTCCTCTAACTTTAGTTTTTGAGGTGGTGAAGCCATTTTTCAAGCTAGAAATGATGAACGAGTTTGTGCAAAAAGCCTCAATTTGCAATGTACAAAATGAGCACAACTATATCCATTTTCCTCAATCTTTACTTTATTAGGTGGCAAAACCATTTTTTATTCTAGAAATTATGAATGAGTTTGTGAAAAAAGGTATAATTTAAAATGTAAAAAATGTTCACAAAAGTTAGAAGGTTGAATTAAAAATAGTACTACAAGTCATTTATAAAGACTTGTGTGCTTCATTTCATTCTTTCGATTAAAATTGTGTTCCCTGCCTAGTGACATGACCCAGTAATTGACCTTACATCAAGGCATAAGTACAGTAGACTTGATTCAATGAAAAAAAAATCAAAACGATAATATTTTTCGCCTACTCGGGGCGAGAGGCAGCAAATACTTGCGATATAAACGTCTCGTTAATAAATAATATATCTTATTTGTCTAACAATCGTGTGGTGAAATGATACGTCATTTTTTTAACAGGACATATTAAACTGGTTTGCTGTGTTGTATGAATATTTGCTTATTAACATTTTGATAGGACTATATAGCTGATGATTCTGTTCCAATTTAATTTTTGACCGAAGCGCTTGTGACCGTGGGCTCGTATTTGCTTGTGATTATAGGGTACGGTTTGGGTCAGCGTCCAAGGTGTCCGCTAAATTGCAGTAGCCCCCCATAGGACCATATTTTAACTCTAATCATATATTTTAATTCCTTGTCATTTTTGACAGTCTGTTAAATCCAAATTGTCATCATTACTAATTGAAATAAAAATAAAGAAAACTATCTCCTATCTGCTTTACATTTTCCTCACCAAAACATAGAACACATGGTGAGAGATAAACAACGCAACATATGAATAAAATACCGAACAAAATACAAGTACGGACTGCACAGAGTATCAAGTTCCTTGTATTTTTTGTCCAAACGAGATATATTTGACGTCTGTAATCACCAGTAAAGCGTATAAATGAATGATATTTTCAGCTGCAAGGTTTTGACTACAGTCACTAAAAAAAGTGCAGATTATACGCTCTAAAGCATAGGTAATTGAAGAACAACATAAGTATTGACTTTACTTAAAACAAATCTATTCGTCATCGTTTGCATATGCGACTATCACCAATGACACAGCCGAGGATATCACGACGAAAAAATACTGCCTGCCTCACTGCCTCACTCAGACACTTTTTTAGTACGGCATAGTGGTTAGTCGCGCATGCACAGCGGCTACCCACAAAAACTAACTAGTGACAAATTATATTGTTGTTATAATACAGTATAACTTCACGTCTACAACTGCTCCCCTCCCTAAAAAAATAGTGTTGCTCCCCAAAATTTTACAACCTAGCCACATAATCCCAAGTGGTCGTCCAAAATGCCATGTCCATGAAACAGTCATACAAGGCCTCGAGCGTTCAATATAGTCATCTTGCCTCTGACACTTCTAGGCATAAATGACGATCATAATTTATAAGTTTGCTCTCGGGTGTTTTGGAGTAGGTGTCAAGCAAGGCCTCCAAATCACCGAACTTCTGCCATGACCCCGGGACTGCAGGAGCATCCTGTTTGATCTCCTGCAACTTCTGCCTTGCCAGGCGAAACTGGGGATGGCCGAAGTCGACTACGGCGTTAGCAACCACCTCAAAGGGATACCTGCTGAGAAACTGTAGGTTTACGTTGTTCACAAGCACGCGATAGTCAGCCACGATGGCAACACGCATATCCTGATCCGCCTGAGGCTCCCTGAGATTTGCTTCAAACCCTTGAGGGTTTTCCGTAAATAATTGTACCAGCTGCGCACGCGAAGTGAAATAGTTGCTTTTAAGAAATGCCTCGGGGATGTTCTGGACCCCAGAAAGCGGCCAAAGACGAGCAGCAGCAAGCGATTGAACTCTCCCACTTTCCGAGTCTGGAGAGAAGGCGCGGTTGTAGTGACTGCCGAGAGTTGGTTTTTCAAACGGACATCAGCGACGCTGTCGTGAACTTGGCCTGTATCTTCAGAATAGTTCAGCAACCTGGATTTGACCGCGCTCAGGACCGACTCTTCATTGAGAAGCTTAGAGTGGTCCTCGAACAAGGCATAGAGCTCTTTTACGCTTGGGTATTTTTTTAGCTCCAGCAATCTCAACTTAGCAAGGGGATGGTTTGGTATATACTGCAATACTTTACGCAAGAAGGAGATAAAAACCCGGTGGCGATTTGGTGCTCCAGTGCCCTTTGCTCGGGCTCCATCGGGGAGATAACCCAAGACCTCCATAAAGGACTTAGTGCATTTGATAATGTGCTCGGGTTGGTTCTCGATAAACTGAAGGACGTCCAGCCGCCGTGCTTTTGGGATGAGAAAAGCCGAGCGATAACCATCCGCCACTCGCTCAAGCCGTTGTAGGAGACCATCGACCATCCAGACTCGAATATGTTCCATTTTCTTCAAACATACTTCTAAAAATCTGGTGATATCCCGCCTGAACTTCTTCCTCTAATTCTTGGTTAAATTTTTTCACAATTAAAAAAGATGCAAAGCTGTTAGCAAGCTTAAAAAACTTTCTGGTAATGACGGAGAAAGCAAAGCTTTCACTGAAAGTCCACTGCAATAGATTTTTCGTCGCAATAATAGGCGAATCGCTGATTGGTGCAGTCCATAGCGAGGATCGGGAGCTTGCAGCGGGTCAAGAGTTTCTCGTACAGTTTGAAGATGAGAGCCGGTTTATTGCCCGTGCCGCCGAAGAGCGTATTAAGAAACCACTTCACGTTCGAATTATCCGGGAATCGGAAGAGATAGAGAAAGTTTGTGTTAAACTTCATGTTCTTTATGTTGTCGAAGCTCTGGGAGAGGAAGAAGACGTTCAATTTCAGATGATGGCTGTACATCGTAAAGAACTTATAGAGGCATTCCCTCTGCGTTCCGCATTTGAGATTCATGACGCGGATGTCGTCGATGATGACGTAGGACTCGGATTCTATACTTGTATCGTCGGTCGATTCAGGCATGACGAAATAATATTTCAAGACCGTGTCAGGTTGGATATATTGATCAGCGGAGGTGTTCGAAATGACGTACAGCCTTTTCGGACAAACGTGAGCAAGGAGCCGTTTCATGAAGAAGCTCTTGCCCATATTGCTCTGGCCCAAGAGCAAAACATTTTGCCCCTTATTTTTTGAGTGAAGGCAGAAGCTCGTCAAACCATTCTTTTTTGTGAAATTCAAGCCTGGGGATAGCGGGGTGTTTGCCGACACCAGTGCTAGTATCGCACGCGATAACACTTGGAAGAACAGGAGGCGCGGGCGCCTGTGATGGCGTCTGGAACTAACAGCCGAAAATCCATTTTGGAAAGATATGCACTGCTCTAAATGTTGAACGACTGGCCGATGTGGGTGCTTGTGGGGGTTGAGGACGCTGCCCGCAAGGCCTGGGAGATGCTATTGTTGATTGGCTGATGGAAACGTGAAGCCGACGCGGGCGCCGAAGCAAGGACATTGGGTGCCAAAACTTTGGCTGACGATTTCAACCTAGAAATGGCCCTCAATTTTGCGCGCTCGCTGCTCTCTGACCATGCTCTTTGCAGCATCCAGGAGCATGCTCTTGAGTTCATCCAAACCGCTATTTTTCGCTCACTCCGTGGTCTTCCGTCGTATCCCTGCTGTTCTTCTAGGCGCTGCGCGCTTCGACGCCCCCGTCTTCTGTCTTGTTGTCGACCTTGGCGCTGCGCGTGTTCTTTGAACTGTTCTCGTCGTCTTGCGAGTCTTTCCAGCATCCATCTTTTTGCACCGCCCGTCTTCTGCTCGCGGGATGGCACATATTCCACGTGGTAGTTGTCGGAGGGGTGAGACATGTTGCTGTTAAGAATACCAGCGCCGAAGATACTGTCAACGACGTTGTCCCCCAGCGAGCTGAGCGCACCGAGGGCGAAGGGGATAGCGGCATTCTTCGCGTAAGGGGCCATCCTGGTGACGGCTCCCAACAGCCTCCCGCTGTGCTCAGTATAAGGAATGGATTACCCGCTCTCGAAAGTTGACATCGAACGCCTGGTGAAGGCCGAGCGAGCCCAAAGACGGTTCGTTGGGGTCTGTAGATACGACAGTCTACCACATCTTTACAATGGGCAGTTTTGCATCAGCAACACGGACAACATCTACCCTCTCCATGATCCGGTCGACGGGGGGACCACTTGCTAACTGTTTGTTGTACTGGAACGCATGTGCTTGTCTTCGCTTGCTTTGGACATGCGCTCGCTGGAATAGAGGAAGCATATGCAGAGCTCCAGGTGCGCAAATATTTTCTGGAGGCCTTTCCCGAGCGGGTCATGTTTACGAGTACGTATACAGTGCAGAGTCGAGGAACGGCTGTCTGCGGGCGCCATGCGGTCCTGTCGCCATGCTGTCTTTGCGCCCACGACACGTAGTGTCAAAGCCCGACAAAGCATGGTCGCGTTACTACGGACGGAAGCGTCGATGAACGCCTCGCAGAGGTATACTACAGTCCTGCGGAGTACTGGCTTGGCCTTACTGCTATCCTAAAGCTGGTTAAAGAGGTTGGCGTCGGCGAGGATGTGGCTCATGAATGGCTAATAAAAAAGGCCATCTGGTAGATCTACTTGCCCGCACCAACGCGAAGTGCTATCCCCCCCCCCTTAGTTTAACATCAGCACCCCGAATGAGGTCCACCAGGCCGATCTGTTGTTTCTGCCTCACGATCGAGTCGGAAGACGCACATTCAAATACGCATTGACGGTCGTCGACGTAGCAAGTCGGTATAAGGAGGCCCAGGCAATCACTGACAAGACAGCAACCCAGGTTGGGAAGGCGTTAGAGTCTATTTATGCCCGTCGGCCTCTTTGATCGCCTAAAGTTTTACAAGTCGACCCTTGTTTGGAGTTCCGTGGGGTTGTGCAAAAAGCGTGTGATAAAAATGGTGTCACGATTCGACAGGGTAAGGCAGGGGTTCATAGAGATCAGGGGATTGTAGAAAGATTTAATCGAACTTTGGCGGAGCGATTGCTTGGGTATCAGTATTATCGCGAGCTGGCTGAGCCCAGAACTAGGAAAAAAGAATGGGTATCAAGATTACCTGAGGTGGTTAAAGCGCTCAATAATGAAACTACTCGTTTGACAGGCCAAAAGCCCTCCCTTGCGATTCGGAAGAAGAGCGTTAAGGCCAAAAACGCTGCACCAGCGCTTCGTCCAGTTGGTTTCAAAGAGCGACGCTTGCCATCGGATGTTATGGTGCGGTATTTTTATGCGCCTGGCGACCTCGAAGGTGGCGAACGGCGTAGGGCGACCGATTCTATCTGGAGTGTGACCTCCCACCAGGCCCAGCGGACTGTAGTTGAAGGCGGGAAGCCTGTGTTGTATTATTTGAGCAATTGGCCCAAGCGCACGTTTGTGCACGAGAAAATCCAAGTGGTGCCCTTTGGTACCGAAACACCGCTGCCTTAGTTGATGAGGTCCTATCACTTTTTTAACACCTTTGGCTTTCATTATAGAGTACATCTTGGTCCTGAGTCCCACAAACTCAGTGATAGGCGCCCCGGCGCACTCGTCCTTCATTTTTCCCCAGCACCTTCTTGTTGGCTGTGCTGAACAGCGGATGGTCTTTAGGATAGTTGCTGGTGTCGTATTGACCGGCGTTGCACCTCATGTCGGCGTATACATCGTAAGTTTGAATCTCCAGCACAAGGCTGTCTGTGTCGGTGTAGAGGAGCTCTGCTGACAACCGGTACTGCACCTTGAGATAGTTGTAGTACTAGTCGTACATCAGATGCTTCGAGAGGTCGAGAACGCTCATGCCCACGAAGACAGGCCGGTTGAGCAGCAGACTTTTTTTATTCATGTGAACGGCTGCGAGGTCTACCGCATCGCCAAAGATGAGATGCCGATTGAATGTCGGCTTGGCAATAAGCTTGCGGAGTATCTCGGTCTCGCTTGGCCGGAGCAGCTTCACATCGACACGCTTTCGGAGGTTCTCCATCGTCTTGCCGAAGACGCTGTCGATCAGCAGCTTGTAGAGGTTGACTTCAAAGTCACTCTTTGCCTTCTTCCGGAGTTCGGTGTTTTTCTGGATGTAGTGCTCCATCCATGGGTTTTGATGGAAGCGGAGCGCCCTGTGGATCTTTTTCAGGCGCATGCCAACCTGCAGATAGAGCTGCAAATTCCGATAGTGCAGGACGTATCGGGTCTTGTCGCGCGGATTGGGGACGAGCTTTTTGACCTCGTGAGACGCACCCCCATACACATCTTTAAGGATATTTTGATGGTAATCCGAAATCCACGTGTCGTCAACCTTCAGGCGTTCTGGCGTCAACGGATATGCATTGTGCTAGTCATGCAGCTCTTCTGGGTACTCCAGATCGACTTTGAGAATGTAGCCCTTCTCTGCATTCACAGACTGGTCCAGGGCCGCCTTCGCATCTTCTTGGTCGATCCACTCGAACGCGCCTGTCGGTAGTGACTGCGACATTAGGGAGTTTTAGCAGAGCCTACGAGTACGATTTACGTCATTTTAGCGCGAAAACATTGTTGCGACAACAAAAACACGTAGCCGTCATCAATTTGAGTAGGATGTTTTGTAAAAAATTCGTAGTTACGACTACGATGTCTTTTTTAAGCAAAGAAAGTAGGTATATTTTTCTTTTCTGTAAGAAATTAGTTTACAGTACTATTTTCGAGCATCCAGGCTTTAATTTCGAACCCTTTTTTAGGGCAGATGTACATTAAAAAAAAAATATGACCTGCAAAACTTTCATGTATTTCGTACGCAAAATGAAAGGTAAACAAAAAAGAAAACAGTACAAACATATCGTACATAAATCTTAAAATAGTGAAGACTTAGCCCCTATTAGCCCCCTATTAGGGAGCTTTAGCAAGAGTACGATACGACATCGAGTCATTGAGTTCTATAATAACTGGAGAGGAAACGTCAACCAAAAGAGATTATTAGCGCGCGGCCGCGTGGTCAAAAACATGGCGGATTTTGGTTGTCAAAGTCAGCGGAAAGACGCGGGCTCATAAAATGAAATTTTTTTCGCCCACCCGGATTTGACAACCACAATAGCGATTATATAAAATATCAATGCCAAGCACAAAAACTTTTAGAAATTTTATCTTTAAAACATGCTGCAAACTTGTTTGGTAGACGGATGCTGAAGTAATGCCAGAAAAGGAAACATTTCATGATACCGGTAAGCAACGTAAGATTGTTTACCATTTAAAGTGTTCAGTGTTTTGTTTTAAGTCAATACTTGAAGTGTGATGGTATATATTTTGTGAATGTTTTTACTCCTAAGTTATAAAGTTATAATTTAAGTTATGTTTATCCATTCTTATTTGTTCTTTACTTAATCGCTTGCTAGACGAGGCAAAGCAACCAGTTCTTATCGAGATATGCATATCTTAAAACTCCTTGTTTTAACTGAGTTGAAATGGAGGATTTTTTCATGATATTTTTCCTGAAAATATGAAGCAAATATTAAGGACAGAGCTGTATTGAAATCAAATGCAGTGCAAGATTAATTAATGAGCTCTTTGGTACATGTCGTACAATAAAAAATACCTGTATTAAACAGCTAGCCTGGACAATTTGACAGATTATGGACAATCATGATGATGGTGTGTAAAGGTTTGCTTTATGCTAACAGTTTTATAAATGCCATCTGGTGTTTCTGTAAATGAATTGTTTGTTACACAGTGTAGTAAACAGGTTAGTACATCAAAATCAAGATAAAAACTACTTTGTTCAATAATGTGCCAAATTTTGCTCCTACCTTGAAATATTTGCTCAAGAAAAGCTTATAATGACATGCATGAAACATTAAATACAGTACTGCATCATCTGACAAAGTCCATATGTTTTTCAATTCCAGGTGATTAAAAATTCACAATAAGATGCATTGGTTGCAATGAAGTTGAATGTGTAAGAAGCAAAAATTGATGGCAAAGAACTTTTTATGTCTTTTGAAGAATTACGATATCATTTAAAAGAATAAGAGTAGCAATCTAGTAAAAGAGCCACATCTGCCTTCAACATGAGACTTCCAATTATGTATAGTTACTTTGTACAAAATACTATTTTAGATAAACTTGATTTTTAAGTCATTTACTGATATTTTTACCAAAAGACAAAAAGAAAAATTCAAAGGCATAATGTAAAATTCAAAAATTTGTCAAGTTGTTTGAACCTAGAAAAAATTAGTATAGGTAACTGTAATTTGTAAGGACACAAGAGAAAAGTAGTGCAAGAAGGTTAGCATTTTTGAGAATTAATAAGTTCTTGACATACATTACACAAGGCCATAATATTATAAATAATGTCTGTATAATAACAATTATACAACATGCTAAATATCTTCACCTACATTATAATTATTTAAACAGGTTTGCCTTCATGCAGCAATAAGAAAAGTGTTATGTCAGAGAAACCAATGCACTTTAATTTAAGAAATCGTATTTTCAATGGGAAATTAATGTAGTTCTGTTCAGTAGTAGATCCATGGTTGTCAATAACAATCCAGTTTCTAATATCTTGGCTCAAAACAGAACCAGCAACATGATTATAGAATTTCTGAATTTCGTTCTTTTGCTTTCCTAGTTCAAGATATTTTCTTTATAAGTTCTCAGTAGATTTATCAGAATATCATAATACCTTATAAGACACCCAGAATCAATCCTACAAAAAAAAAACTCAAAAAAAATACATACCTACTTATAATATATTTCCAGTCGACTTAAGTCGTAGTGGTAAGCTAACTTTTTCTGACTCCTTTTTGGACATTTTAACTAAGATTTACCCATCTATTTAAGAAAGACAGTTGCACCAAGCTGTTAACAAACAGTCAAAAACACAAGTATTGCGCATGGGATTATGCATTAAAGCTTAACGATACATTGACAGTGTAAAGAATGCCGTTTGATATTTTATAACATAGCTTTACTTGACAAAATATACGTTATTTTACAGTAGATTTACCTCATTTAAATGTGTGTGTCTGTTGTGATATCAACTTGAACTTTTTAATGAATTCATTTACATACCACGAGGTAATTTACATATCACGTGATTCTATAAGAATTTGCATACGAATGTAAACAATCTAACATGAGTATATCATAACATTCCCCTTTCTCTGAAATGTCAAAGTAGCTACATATTAATAAGTCTCTGTGGGGGTTTGCTAATTCTTCCTGATCTGGTTATGACAATATTATCTTGTGGTACTGCGCGACAAGGGGATGAAGTTGTCCTTGCTGGATCGTCTGGCAGCGGTTCAGTTTCTGAGTAAGTTGTAAGGTCTTCTGTATCTGTGTTGGTGAAGTCTTCATCTGTGGTGTTGATATGCCTTCTGTTGCGGCGATAGGTGGCTCCATTGCTGGCTTTGACTTCATATGATCTTGGTTCTACTAGTTTCTGTGTAACAATAGCAGGATCCCAGAGTTTGGTGGTTGGATTCTGTATCCGTACACTCTGGCCAATAGCCAGATCTGGTCGATCGCGGGCTCTTTTATCGTATCGCTGGACATGGCGTTGTCTGTGTTGAGAAATGTCTTGTTGGGCGGTCTGGTGAAAGGAACTCTTGAACGAAAGTCCATCGTCGAGTTTACGTTGGAACATAAGTTCCGCTGGTGAAGGTACTGTAGAGGAAATTGGTGTGTTTCGTACAGCCAAAAGAGCTAATGCTGGGTCTTGATGCGTTTCTTTGCATTTTTGTAAGGTATTCTTCACAGTAGCGACGAAGCGTTCAACTTTCCCGTTAGCTTGATGGTAGTGGGGACTACTGGTTGAGTGTTCGAATCCATATTCCTTGGTGAACTTCTCGAAGTCTTGTGATGTATACTGAGGGCCATTGTCACTCACTAATTTTCGGGGTATGCCAAATTCAGCGAAAATGGCCTTAAGTTTGCTGATGATATCTGAAGATCTGGTTGATGATAGTTTCCTCACAACAAAGTATGAGGAATAGTAGTCGACAAGTAACAGGTAGTTAGCATTGTTCCAGTGATACAAGTCTGATGACACGACTTCCCAAGGTTTCAGTGCTTCTTGTTGAATTATCGTTTCTTTAGGATTTGAAGTTTGGTGTTGCTGGCAGGAAGCACATCTTTTTACCATGTCCTTGATGTCTTTGTCAATGCCATACCAGTAGACAGCTTGTCTAGCACGAAGTCGACATTTCTCGATTCCTTGATGTCCTGTGTGTATCCGGTGAAGTATCTCGGCTTGGCATGTCTTTGGGATGATTACACGATCGCCTTTCATGAGAATACCATCATGTACAGCTATCTCGTCACGGAAATTCCAGAACTGGTGAAGGTCGATGGGGCAGTTTTGGCGATGCTCAGGCCATCCTACCATGACTTGGTGTGTAAGTTTCTGAAGTAACGGATCAAGATGTGTTGCAATCTTGATTTTTTCGAGCCGGCTCGTAGTCATGTGTGCAAGAGATCCGATGCTGACGTCTAGTTGAGGTATCTCTGGTCCAGGAATTGGTGATCTTGAAAGCATGTCGGGAACTGGCAATTGTTTTCCAGGAACATATTTGACAGTGTAGTCATATGGTTGGATCTTGAGTAGCATTCGCTTAATCCGGGGACTTGCAGTTGAGACTGGTTTCTTGGTAATTGATTCCAAGGGTTTGTGATCTGATTCCACTAATACGTGGCGTCCATACGTGTAGTGATGAAATCTTGTCAAAGCGAAGACTATGGCGAGCATCTCTCGCTCGATATTGGTATAGTTCTGTTCTGTGTTCGTTAGGGTCTTGCTGGCAACTGTTACTGGCTTGTTGTCTTGATAGAGTATGGCTCCGAGTCCTTCCGTTGATGCGTCACACTGGATTGTCACAGGCCTTGTCGGGTCGAAATAAGCTAGGACTCCAACATTTGCGATGTTGTCTTTGATTCGCTCGAAAGCTTCCTGATGTTCAGGTCCCCACTGGAAATCAACATCTTTTCGAGTGAGTTTGTTGAGTGGTGCGCAGAGATCAGATAGATCTGGGGTGAATGGAGCGAGGTATTTGGCTGATGACAGGAATGATAGCAACTGGCTCACATTCTGAGGTTGCTTCATATCTTTGATGGCAGATACCTTGGATGGGTCGGGTTTGATTCCTTCGCTGGTCAAGATGTGTCCGTAGAAGCCAATGCTGCTCTGCTTGATGTGGCATTTGTCATAATTGAGAGACAGGTTACGTTCTTTGGTTCTCTCCATCACTCGCAAAAGATTTTCGTCATGTGTTTTGTCGTCTTTGCCGTAAACTACGATGTCGTCGGCGATGCAGATGATTCCTGGCAATCCGTCGTATGTTTTGTCAATCTTTCTCTGGAAGATATCCTGTGCAGATACCAAACCAAATGGGAGGCGTTTGAAACAATAGCGACCCATGGGAGTGTTGAAGGTTGTCAAGAGCTTTGATTCTTCGTCAAGGACCACGTTCCAATACCCAGATCTGGCGTCAAGTTTACTGAAGACTTTGGCATTACTGAGTTGGGGTAGCACGTCTTCAAGTTTCTGGATGTAGTGGTGCTCACGTTTGATCGCATCGTTGAGTCGCTTAGGGTCCAGGCAGATCCTCACATCGCCGTTTGGCTTTGGCACTACCACGATGCTGCTAACCCAGTCTGTGGGTCCGTCGACTTTCTCTATGACACCGATGTCTTGTATGCGTCGAAGTTCCTTGCGGAGTGGTTCACGCTGACTTTCTGGCACAGATCTTGGGGCGTCCTTACACGGGATAGCATCATCTCGTATGGGTATCTTGTATTTTCCTGGAAGTGTTCCAATCTCCTTAAAGCATTCAGGATAATGCTTAAGAAGGGAGTCTTTGGAAATCTGGATGGGCTTTTGTTGGGTCTTAATGTGGCATATGCCTGTTTGGCTATTACACAAGGTGCAGTCTGTGTTACAGCTCTCTTTGATCAATCTTAACTGGCGTAGAGAAGGTAGGCCAAGTAAAGGGGTATCGTCAGTTTCTGTCACAAGGAACTGGACTTGCGCGGTTTCTCGGCCATGGCGTATGGTTGTGGTGAAATACCCAATGTGTTGTAGTTCTGAACCACCGTATGTCTTAACTTTGACTTGGGCAGGCATAATCTTTGTTTCTGGCTTAAGCTTTCCGGAATTATCAAAATCGTTAGGGAATAGCTCACGGTAGATTTTCTTTGAAATCACACTGGTAGGCGCTCCGGTGTCCACCTTGCAGCGGAGATTGTACGGTCCTCTCTCTCCGTGAATTCTGACAGTAGAGAACAGTTCCTCTCCCTTTAAGGCGCAGTACTCTAAGGAGTCAAAGGTGAAGTCAATTGTGGCGTTGTAGTCATCACATGACGTTCCGGCGTATTCTAAGGAATTGACATGTGTTTTGGCTGATGATTCGCGTCTAGGGTTCTGCTGGCTCCTATCCATCTGGCGATATTGCTTTGTGATGCAAACTCTTTCCCAATGTCCCCGTTTTCCGCAGAAGTTGCAATTGTCATTCCGGGCTGGACATATATCGTCACGATTGTGAGCGCGACCACAGTTGAGACATCCATTTTGTCTGACGTTTGGGCGATACGGTGACTTTTGGGACTGAGTTGTCTGGCTACGTTGATGATATTGACGGTTTTGGTTTCTAGGAGTAGATTTTACAGCGCTTATTGTTTTAGTTTCTTGGAGGGCGGTCACGTGTTTCTGTGATGCTTCTTCGGCGCGAGCTATTTTCATGGCGTCGTGGAGCTTCAAAGAGCTATCCTTGGTGAGTAATTTCTTGCAAACCTCGTTTGAATTAACTCCAAATATAAGTGTGTCGATTAGTTGTTCTTCTTTGTCTTTGTACTCACAATCATCAGCGAGTATTCTGGCTCTTGTCATGAAGTTGTCGATTGTCTCATCTGGCGCTTGTTTTGATTCACGGAGCTGAGCTCGGACCACGCGAAAATTTGTCTTCGGTCGCACGTATTGTTGGAGTTTCGACCAGTAGCTGTCAAGCTCCTTTTCTTCGTCGGCTGTGAGGTCCAATCCATCGATTATGTCTTGTCCTTCGTCACCAAGAAAGAGTTTGAGGTAGTTTACTTTTACGGCTTCGGTTTGATCATTTAACGGTCCAGCGAACACGATTTCGCAATTCCTCTTGAACTTTCTGAAGGTTTCTGGAAGATTTCTGGCTGTCCAATCCATTGACGGAAACGGTATACCACGTAGATTATCCATTGATGTGTTTAAACCTTGTTTCTAGCGATATTTGATTGAGAAAATGGCTTAAAAATCCACAACTTCTGACAACATGTTGTGATATCAACTTGAACTTTTTAATGAATTCATTTACATACCACGAGGTAATTTACATATCACGTGATTCTATAAGAATTTGCATACGAATGTAAACAATCTAACATGAGTATATCATAACAGTGTCTATTTCACAAAAACCTGAAGCATTATTTTCAATATTTTATGCTTACGGTATCGTGGTTGTTTTCGCTGGTTGTCATTGACATAAGCAGTAACAGAGTTCCGGATTCGGGAGGGAGCGAATGTTAAAAATTTTTCTCAAAGTGGAAGTTTTGACCATTGAGTTCTATAATAACTGGAGCGGCTAACTTTACTGGGGCGAGGACGCCAAAAAAATGGCGGCCAAAGGACGTATTTCCGCTGAAACGATCGCTTTGCAGAAAAATAATATTCTCGACCTCCCCCTGGTGTCTATAGTAAATTATAAAGAATTTTTCAAAAACAAACACGATATCACAGAACATGGATATCGTTAGTTCCATATTCTGTGACGATTCTTTTTTGGCATTGCTCTTATAATGCCAACACTTCAATCGTTCAATTGTTGGATGTCGTAGTTTCCACAAAAAGGAACATATCGCTTCTCACAGGTGAGGTAGTTGTTTGTTTTGTTAGTCCGTCAACGATTGAAAAGCAATTATACATGCACTTGAAAAGCCATAAAATACATATTAAAGATCGTATTTTTTAAGACTGACTTGAACGCCAAATATACTGATGTTTTCCTGTTTTTGTTTATAAAATTCTGCATACTTTTCTGCCATTTGTTAATGCATGAAATCGTAAATTTACCCATTTATTTGCAAAATAGTTTCCCTAAAGCAAAAAAGACCCTGCACACATTTTGCTCTGTGAGTAAGTATCAAAAAGAAATGATCAGCCCCAACGGTACCCATGATTTGGAGCAGAGCTTGTTATGTTCTATTTGCTGACAACATGCAGGGACGATCAAGGAGTAAAGATGACTGGAAGATGTTATTGACCAGGCAGAGTCTTAAAAAATGATAATGCTGTAAAGATAATTGATTTATTGTCTGCCCTATCCAGAGTTATTTAATTTGATCGTGGTCAAATTCTATGGATGGAGACAATGGATTCACTAAGGATGCCTTGAATGCTTTGAAGTTAAAGTTCATGATCCAAAGAAAGATGGCAAGAAGGTTGTGTGTGTCTGGATGCTTAATGAAATGTCAATTCACAAACATGTAAAATGGAAGGCCATAAAGTTTGTGTCTATGTAAATATTTGTACTGAGATTGATGATGACTCGATGCAGATGTGAAGCTTCAAACTGTATAGCCATTGGGTTTTATGTAACTTAATGTTTAAATCATGTCATATCTTTATCAAAATATATTAGTTGAGTGTTGTTTGAATGTTACTAATATCTAATGCACTACACTGAAGCATTAAAGATTCAGTGATGAAACCTTTAAAGTTACTGTACTGTATATTTCTTATATATTTCTTATATTTCTTTAAGAAAAATTTGAGCTTATTTACCTATTAGAGTACAGAGATTTATCATATGCATTATTGCTGCTTTTTTAAAGAAACGTTTTTCACTTTTCAAAGCTTTTCTACAAATTTTTGCTTCTTATTTCTTATCATGAGATTGAAGATATAGAGGTAATATAATACAATAATATTCTAATTTCTAAAAAGTTTTTAAGCTTCTAGCATAAAAGCACACTATAGGTATGTAATTCATTTGGTTTTATTGCCTTGCTATGACATATCTACTTGCACTTCATCATTCTTGTATGAACAAAACACCAGATGTGGATACTCAGAGAACAAAATGCACTACCAACTGCTTATGAAATTTATTATTGAGATGAAAACTGTGTTAATCGAATAATTATAGTGCACTTTTATTGCAAATATAGGAAAAACAAAACAAAGTGAAAAAGAAAGGTAGAATTATTAAAACTACAAATGAATTATAAACACCATTGGAAGCATAAGTGTTTTGATAATTATTTGCATTTTGCCCAATTCATATATCAATACAACAAAATCAAAATGTGCTATAACTTTACAAGTATTTGATGCACTTGCACTTCAGAACATCACAAAAAGGTTACTTAAAGTAATTTCTATACAATATTGTTTGTTTTCATTTACCAAACCTATGCAGACTTGAGTCTTTTTGAAATTTCATATGAAACTCAATTACAGAAAATCCGTAAATATCCAGAGATTTAATATGTACTTTTTTAAAGAAACAAGTAAAAATCCTACAATTGTGGCGAAAAAAGCCATTGCCCATTGCATGAAAAGAAGCAAAATAGCAATGATAACAAATAAGCTGACTTCTCTCTTGTGAACCGTGGAGATGAACTATGATATACTTTTTTGTATAGACTAAAGAGTTTAATCGATCAAACAAGTTTGACGCTGGTAAGAAAACGACGCACATCTGCATTCATACATGTGTAGCCGACATATAGGTCTTTCGTCGATAGTTATAAATGCATCCTCGTAGGAGCAGATAACTGACAACCACAGTTGACTCGCTGTTATGAATTTAAGGTTTTTACCTTGATTTTCATCAAAAAATTGCTTGCCGAATCCCAAATACACACATACATTTTCCTCACTCTTTCCTCAGGAGGGAGTGAGAAATTATAGAATTTTCGGAAAAGCGGTCGATTTCGGTAAATCTCAGCGGCAAAGGACGAAATCCGCCATTTTTTTGGCGTCATAAGATATCTAAGGCCGCGCTTGAGATAGCCGCTCTAGTTATTATAGAACTCAATGGTTTTGACAACCAAAATCCGCCGTTACCGCCATGTTTTTGACCACGAGGCCCAGGCCCCTTTGCCCCTCCAGGTCTTATAAAGCTCAATGCATCGAGTACGAAGTTTGACCGTGTAAGGGAATGGCACTAGGAAGTTTGTTGTCGTTGTCGCTTCGTCAAAATTTAGTTTTAGTATAAACAACAGAACGAGCCTTTTTATTGTGAAAAACACCGGCGTTTGCGAAGCAGCTACGGCTCCATTTGTCAATAATGATATCAACTAATCGGTAATACTGATTTTGCGAAAGCATAGGACTCTTTAGAGTGAAAAATCTTTACTATTTTAAATTTTATGTTCGATATATTTAAACTGTTTTATTGTTTGTTTAACGTTCACTTTGCGTACGAAATACATGAAAGTTTTCAAGGTCATATTTTGCTTTTAAATGCACATATGCACTCAAAAAAGGTTCTACAGTAAGGCCTGTATGCTCGAAAATAGTACTGTAAACTAATATCTTTCACAATAAAAAAATATACCTACTTTCTTTGCTTAAAAAGACATCGTAGTCGCGAGTACGAATTTTTTACAAAACATCGTACTCAGATTGATGACGGCTACGTGTTTTTGTTGTCGCTACAATGTTATTCGTAGTCGTAGTCGTACTCGTAGTCTTTGCTAAAGCTCTCTATTGCCCAGCAGTACAGGTTATTGGCGTCGTAGTACAGGATCCAGTTTTTTAGCTTCCGTGGATCGTAGTCTAGCACCTTAGGGTTGTTGGCCTTGGCGAAGCTCCTCCTGGTCATACTGATATGCGTCTCAATGAAGAGAGCGTTCCAGCTTAGACCTGGGCTCGTATAATAGTGGGCCGGGTCTAGCTTGTATTGCTCGAGGCACAGTTTTCGGAAGTTCTCGAAGACGTCGGCGAGGAGAACATCAGTCCGAAGGTAGAGGTCGTGGTAGTCGCCGAGGGTTGTGCAGCCGAAGGAGTCCCAGACCTTTCTTCCGTGGGCGTAGTGGTCATCGGTAATTGCCTTTAACGTAGAGTTTGCTGCAGAAAGCCTCCTTCTGCGGGAGGGAGCCCTCATCAAATCTGGACCAGCCGTCCATATACTCATAGGGGTAGATCCCCTTGCGGAGCAGGAGGGTACGCCTCTTGGGGTTTGGCTAGAAGTCTGCTGTGATGCGCATGTCTTGCGGGTCGCTGGCTTCCACCAGTTTATCCAGACGTAAAAGCATAAACTGGACGCTGTGGATAAATCGAAGCTGGCCGATACTGAACGAGATGTATTTCTTGGCATTGTTGGGGATGCAGGTGACATTCCCTTCAGTGTCTGCGATAGTCTGCATGATGAGATGGCTGTCGTAGCCTCGCAGGTTGTGAAAGACAACCGGTATGGTTGTCGTCTTCGGACTGAGCCGCAACTTGAGGTTGCACTCATTGTGGGCCGCACCTCGGTACTTGCCAGCAATGTGTCAGTGGTCTCGCACAGAATCGTCTTCAAGGGGCTTAGTGCAAACGTAGCAGGTTGTGGCTTTCTTGTGGCTCCCCCAGTCCTTTCCTGTCATGGCATAGGGTCGGAGTTAGCCAACACCGCCTTGATCTTACGCTCTTCTTTTTGGAGCGCATCCAGGAAATGCTTGGCCGCGTCAGGCCCTCGGTAGAGCTGCGGCGGCTGCGTTTCCCCGTCGGAACGAACGACTATGTACGAGTAGCCGCGTGCCTCGTGCCTGGAGGTTTACTGGATGCCGCCCTTTTCAGGGTTAAGCGCGGGGCCCTCAATTTTGCAGACCAGACTCTAGAAGTCGTCGTAGATGATGAAGGGCGCTTTGAGCTGCTTGTGGTAGTTCTCAAAGCGGATTTTGTCATTTGTTCCGGGGGTTGGCATTCTGTGATGGCAACCAGGGCCTGGTTGATGCCTCGACATTCAGGCTTATGCTCTTCCAACAAATCCTGTCTGGTGAAGCCGTAAAGACAATGATCACAGAAGTGCAGCCGGTGCCTATTCTTCGATTCAAGGTTGAGAAAGCGGTTGAAGTCCTTGATCCAAGTGTAGTGGTATTTTTCGGAATTTTTCGAATCCGAGACGAGGAAGAGATTCACAGTTATGCGGGCTCTCTCCACTTTTCTCAGACGGCAAGGAACGACGCCGCCTTCCCAACCGTACACGTTGATAGCAAGGACGTTCTGACGCTTCACTCGTTCGACCTGAGAGAGCGGTGTGGGTGCGCTCACCCCCGTAATGTCAAGATGCATCAATTTCATCATCGGTAGACTTGACGGAGCTGCGCTTGCGCGGTTTGGGGATAGGCCTGCGCTTGTGCGGTTTTGGGATAGGCCTATGCTTGCGTGGTTTGGGGATAGGCCTATGCTTGCGCGGTTTGGGGATAGGCATGCGCGTGCGCGGCTTATGGATAGGCAGAGTGACATTTCTTGGCGTGGGTGTTGGGTCAGCGGGCGGTTGAAGAGCCTTAAGAGAGGCGTTCAGCGCGTGTCCGCTGATACAATTTGGTCATATAGTTGCAGAAGTTTATTAACAGTATCCATCTCGAGTGTCGCAAATCTCGTTGGTATGCATTAGGGGAGACATTTTTCTAAATCAAAATTAATTCTAAATGTCGAAATCAATTATAAATGTTGAAATTAATTCGGCGAGTACGCTAGCAAACCTTTTTCTTGCTTCTTTCTGTTTATAAACAAACATATGCTGCACCCTATTCGCACCGCAGGTATGAAATACGCAGTATTTACCCATGCAGCTACGTCCACATGTGGTGGGTTTCCGGGTAATAACCACGCACACCTGTTCTTGCTCTGCCTCATGACTTTCGAATGTTTGGATATACAATATGTGAGAATTTATGTCTAAATAAATAATAGACCCCCGACGGCCGGCTGCACAGGCGCTGGGGGTGGGCCGACCGTCTTTGGCTCCTGCAGTTGTCCCGAGTTTGGTCTTTGCGTTATCCGGTGCGATTTTTCTGCCGACCTATGTGCTTACTGTGTGCTTAGTATGTATGTGAACCACGTACGCGAACTAGAGCTGGGGCGCTTAGATTTGTGTATACTCCTTCTCAAACTGTGAAGTACGCCAGAACCGGTGCGATTTTTTGTCGGGAACCATGTATACATTTACTTCGCACTGTGTAAATGAACTAGGGCTGGGGCGCTCAGATTTATGTTTTCAGCCTACCAGGGGGCGAAGTGTGCCTGAACCGGTAGTCTCGATACTACTTAATGTGACATGGCATCTGTGAATGTCAAGCGCATCACTGACTCAGAATTATTTATTATCAAACCTTTTCTTCGTGTAAGAGCCGCAAATTTTATAGTGGATAATTTGAAACAAAAAATGAAACCTACTTTCCAGTCGTGGTATTAAATATAGCTTTAAAAGCCACTTATAGAATCAATCAAACGATTTTCGTTTGAAATGGAAACAAACATTGATTTGTTTATAGTCATACTTCATACTACGCAATGCTTTGGTATCAAATTTGTTAAGTTAGAAATGTAAATACAAAACCTTGGTTAACTTACGTAAAATTACCTTTGTTTTAGAAATAAGACTTCATATATGACGATCGTGTGGACAAAATTATGCCTGCTTTAGTTCTTTACATGTTACGTACCTAACAAAAGATGAGAAATTTAATATAAGATAGCGACTACATACATATCAGTTAAAAAATGGTGATCATAATTCATACATTATTGTAATATCAACTTTTTATCCGTTAGAGTTTTGTTACATAAACACATTTAAAAACCAAACCAAGATGAAGAGTGAGTCACGATCTCCTTAAACAAACAGTTTTATTCTGTAACTAAGTATACATCACTGACTAAAAACAATTGTTATAAAATAAAAGTACATAAACAAGAATATCATGAAGAGTACATATTTAACATTGAGATTATTCAAATTCGAAATGAGTACTGTTAAACGTTATAAAGTTTCACAAGTTTTAACTCAGGAATAGAGAATCACCTATCTAAGACAGGATTTGAATGCCAATGATTAAGACACGATTTGCGAAACGTGAATGGTTTTTTCCCCCTTCAACAATAAAAAATTCCAAACATGTATATTCTTGCATAAGTCAGTTCTTATCATAAAAAACCTTTGTTATTAAATAAACCATTGCAAATTATGAATACATGTCAAACATCAACTGCACGCAATTATAATTACTTATGATTAATAAAGACACTGTAGATACAACAGTAAAGGATGGAATGAAAGTAAACCTTAAAACTGTTAAACAAACATGTAAAATTTCACAAAAATAGGTTCGGATGCGTCTTTCTCAGTGTAAATACATTCTTCCTGTGGTCAACATTTGCTTATTCTACAAATGTTCTTACTTTTAAAATGAATAGTTTGCTCAATACAATTAATAAAATTTTGTTAGGCACACAGCGATTAGTAAAATGTGGCGCCGGTAAAAAAAGGGAGGTGCTGCATGATTGGACATGCTATTCTTTCTACATAAATTTTCACAGATTCCCATTTTTTCCGTAGACAAGTATAGTATTTCACCTCTCCCATGCCTTTGAAAGTGTTTTGCTTTCCTTTGCCATGCAGCTATTGCCAATAGTTAGAAAGTTGGTATATAAATTTAGATATGATTTCTCATGCATGTTTAGTCATACTTTATCGAGATGCCGCTTTAGCTAATTTGTTATGTCGGTAATGTAGTTCTAAAATATCGCTTAATTTTTCTAAAATTACTTCCGTTTTAGAAGTAAGAAGACCGTGTGAACAAAATTATGCTTGCTTTAGTTCTTTACATGTCACATACTTAACAAACGGATGAGAGATTTAATATAAACAACGCAACCACATACAAATCAGTTGAAAAATGGTGATGAAAGTTCATACCTTATTGTAACATCAAGCTTTCATCCTTGTGAGTTTTGTCACATAAACACTTTTGAATAGCAAAGGAAGATGAAGAGTGAGTCAGGATGTCCTTCAACCAACAGTATTATAAAACATTAATGACATCTATGTAGAACATTCTACTTATATAACTAAGTATACATCATTAACTAAAAACAATTGTTATAGAAATAAAAATACATAAATAAGAACCTCATGCAGAGTACATAATAACAATGAGATTACTCAAATTCCAAAAGACTGCTGCTAAATCTTATAAAATTTCACAAGTTTTAACTCAGGAATATAGAATGGCCTATCTAAGACAGGATTTGAATGCCAATGATTAAGACACAATTGTCTTTCTAAACGGTGAATGGATTTTTTCCCTTCATTAATAAAAAATTCCCTAAATGTATATTCTTGAATAAGTCAGTTCATATTATAAAAAACCTTTGTTATTAAATAAACCACTGTAAATTATAAATACATGGCAAACATCTACTGCACGCAATTATAATTACTTATGATCAATAAAGACACTGTAGATACAACAGTAAAGGTTGCAATGAAAGTAAACCTTAAAACTGTTAAACAAACATGTAACATTTCACAAAAATAGATTCGGTTGCGTTCTTTCTCACTGTAAATACATTCTTCCTGTGCTCAACATTTGCTTATTTTACAAATGTTCTTACTTTTCAAATGAATAATTTGCTCAATACAATTAACCACATTTTGTTAGACACACAGCGATTAGTAAAATGTGGCGCCGGTAAAAAAAGGGAGGTGATGCATGATTGGACATGCTATCCTTTCTACATAAATTTTCACAGATTCCCATTTTTTCCGTAGACAAGTATATTGTTTCTCCTCTCCCATGCCTTTGAGAACGTTTTGCTTTCCTTTGCCATGCAGCTATTGTCAAAAGTTAGAAAGTTGGTATATCAATTTAGATATGATTTCTCATACATGTTTAGTCATACTGTTTCGAGATGCCGCTTTAGCTAATTTGTTATGTTTGTAGTGTAATTCTAAAATATCGCTTAATTTTTCTTAAATTACTTCTGTTTTAGAAGTAAGACGACTGTGTGAACAAAATTGTGCTTGCTTTAGTTCTTTACATGTCACATACCCAACAAACGTATGAGAGATTTAATATAAACAACGCGAACACATACATATCAGTTAAAAATGGTGATCATAGCTCATACCTTATTGTTACATCAATCTTTTGTCCTTGTGAGTTTTGTTACATAAACACATTTAAATAACGAAGGAAGATGAAGAGTGAGTCAGGATCTCCTTCCACAAGCAGTATTATAAACATTAATAGCATATATGTAGAACATTTTAGTTATTTAACTAAGTATACATCACTGACTAAAAACAATTGTTATAGAAATAAAAATACATAAATAAGAACTTCATGCAGAGTACATAATAACATTGAGATTAGTCAAATTCCAAAGGACTACTGCTAAATCTTATAAAGTTTCACAAGTTTTAACTCAGGGGTAGAGAATCACCTAATTAAGACAAGATTTGAATGCCAATGATTAAGACACGATTTTCGAAACTGTTAATGGATTTTTTCGCCTTGCTTAATCAAAAATTCCATACATGTATATTCTTGCATAAGTCAGTTCTTATTATAAAGAACCTTTATTATTGAATAAGCCATTGTAACTTACGAACACATTTCAAACATCAACTGCACTCAATTATAATTACTTAGCTATGAGAAAAAACAATGTTGATACAACAGTAAAGGATGCAATGAAAATAGTCATTAAGATAATGCTAGTCTCAGATGAGCAATGACGTTGAGAAGCACATTGTAGTTTAAAAATCTCAATCTCAAACTATCTATTATCAAGATTAATCTCTGTGTATTTGGTGTTATCATTTCTCTCTATATCATTGGGAATGTTTTGGTATAGGCATAAAACATCTCACTTCATGGTAGGGGAGAAAATTGTTGAATGGTGTGTGCTAATATTATTGTGCTAAGCGTATTACCGTGAGTAATGTAAAAATTCGTCACATTCCTCATGTTTAAAGCAATATTTTAAGTAAAAAGGACTCCTTAGTGAAATGAAAGAATCATGGAATTTTCATTATGTACGCAAATCACACTTCCATACTGTATAAAATCATCTTCATTTTCTCGCTGAGTCAGTTGATGCAGAAGATTAAAAAATTTGTCTTAGAAGATCTGACTGAGCAGAAAACTTGCGTACATATTTTTTCAAAATGTACGCCATTATATTTATTAAACGCAGTGTTTTGGGAAATATACCCAAAGGCCGAGAAATAAAAAATAAATGTGAATATTCATGATAGCTACAATAAATTATGTTATGACAAATTACTTCCTTGGCCCCAAATGTGGACACTGTTTTTTTCCAAAACAAAACGAAATGGGAGGGAAAACCGGTGTATCCGGTAAAAAACCTCCAATCAATAAAAAGATCAAAATTTAGAAAAATTTAGTAAAATTTTTGTTGTTTTAAGATGTTTCATATTTTTGTTGTTTTCAATGATCAAGATGATCTACTTTAACATGCAGCGTAGTCAGATCGTAGCTTCGTCGTTCGTATCTTAAATTTGCAAAGTGACAAAAAAAGCGGCGACAAAAAAAGCGGGCTGACTACCCTATTTATTGACACCGCAAATATTTTGTGTTTGAACAAAAGAAACGAAAACTTTAGTATAGAACAAAAAATGAAAGAGTGCAGAGTGTTAACAAAAATTTTAATGAATAGACGAAAAATAAAAACTAGTAGCAGCTCATATATAAATCATATGAAAAATTCATTCAATTCGTTGGACCTGATCATTCACCGACCAAAACAATGAAAAATAAAATGACCAAAGTGACGTAGTGGCTTGCATACAAATTATTTTTGATGTCTACTAGATTTCATTCGATCAAAATTTCTATATTGCTTCATTAAGACCTTCATTAATAGCTGGCTTTCACTCGTGTGTTTTGTCCGAAAATTTGACAATTGTGAAAATTCAGTTTTACGGAAATTTTTTAACGGTTGAATTTAAAAATGCGTTATACTGATTAATAGTATGCATAACGAAAGTCGCAAGTGGGAATCTTCCAATAAGGACGCTTGTTTCTTCGTGCTTCTGTCCAACTTGATCGTTTATTCAATGTCTAGTTATTACCCCTACAGACATAGCTACTCTGTAAAAAACACATTATAAATGTCAGCATAATGAATGAATAAAATCAGAAATTATATATTTTGAAAAGAACAAAACTTTAATACCTGATTTTCAAGCATTGTCCTGGTCCGTCTGATACAGGCGTCTTAGTAGTCTCTTCCACTTATTTCACAGCGCAGTTTTTACGTGTATACCGTCACGTGTATATCGTAACATTTTTATCTTAAAAACTCAATGAACCCTACTTGAAGCATTGCAATTTTGTTTATAAACGTTGAATAAAGTTAGTAAAAAGTAGCGAGTGAAAGCCAGCTATTTTCTCACAGCAGTTGACATCTTTTATTGACATTTTTTAGCTAATATGGGTGTTTTTCATGATTAAATTTCAAATTATTAAAATAGACTATCAGGATCCTTTTTGAATATCTCATGCAATTACTCATAGCTATAAGTTAATTTCAATACTTATCTACTCAACTTACAAACCACAGGACATAGATCTTGTTTTTCCACTCGCTTGGTTTCCATTGTCGTAGATTATAGTCCAATCATTTCAATATTAATGTTCAAATGTACAAATGCCGTTAGCCAATGTCCATTCAATATGTTTGTACCATTCCATACACAAAGTTATCAACGTAACCAATCGAGGGGCTACTGGTATTATGAATCACCATTTCGATAGATTACTGTTTACAATGCACTCTTATGGTAACTTCAAGTGAAGGAAAAGGGATCACGTCAATACCCCGGTTATATCATCACTCAAAAAATGCTTAGTGCAGATTTGATCTCCTATGATTGTCAGCTGACCACCTTTAGGTTGGCTCATATAACAATGGGGCCCATCATCATTATATGAACAAACAACTGACATCCACAAAGAATCCAAACTACAAATGAACATTTTTGGCCACGAGTCACCATGACACATGAGTAATGACAAACTAGTAAGAGTAATTGAAGTGAATGACACAGTGGTAAAAAGACTTTCACAACTCCATCCATGTGGGATCTACAATATAAGAAAATATGAAACATATGTACGACATTTCATGATGAAGAACTCTACATATGACGTTAGTTTGTGTTTTTAAATTATAATAACTTATATTACTAAGAATATATAGTAGAGAGTTGTAGAAAAATGAGCAGAAAAACAATTACGGCTCTCGTTCATTGCAAGTCTACACGTTACTCTATGAAAACTGCACTTCTATACACTCAACCACATAGTGCATTGGAGACAATTGGCAAATTCAGTGTATTTATATTCATTGCATATATTCAGTTATAACTAATGTGATATTGAAGAAACAAACCAGAAATCAGTAGCATCAATAAAAACCATTGAGATTTTCACAAGAACAATAGAGATAAATCCAAAAACAAATTATCATTTATCGTCAGTTTAGTCACTTACATTTGTAGTTTCCAGCCGTAGGATCTATTTTCATACATGATATCGAAACAAGTAGCTACGTGTGTAACACATTTCATAAGGGTTTTCCTCTCTGAAATTTATTTTTGCTTCTGCTATCAACATTTAGGATGTGATACTGACAGTATATATCTGTACATCGTGGCTTTCAAATAACTTGTCATCGATGACAGTTGAAGGCAACAACTTTATTTTGATTGCCACAATGACAAATCTTTATACTTGTCGTCTATGTGCAAAGTCTTGTTCTATCACATATGAACAACATTTACTTTCCATGACGCCTCGTGGTTTATATGTGGCTTGGAGTGAAAGTTATCTTTATAAATAGTGTTAAGCATGTCATTATATGTATTTGTTCAACATGATTGTTTAACCCTCTGGGAGCCGTGCCTTTTCAAAAGTTCTTACACATCTCGTTTGGTGATTGTCGCCTGTGAGCATCAACAGCCTCTAGAGGATTAAAACTCATTGTCTGTACTTGAAAAAATTACCGGGTATCTATCAAATCTAATTTTTAAAAATAAAACGTATTGTTGCCAAACAAAAGAATTATGCTCTCCCTACATTAATGTACGTGAAATGCTAATAGCAATTGACCATTTTTCAGCGATAATACGCCACTCATTTATTAATTAAATTTATTAAGCCTATTAAATAACGCAAACATTATGATTTTGGGCTTGAAGATGTTGGTGACGTCAATCAGAACGCCTATAAACCATTCTCAGAACCTCAAATTATCAAGATATGACTGCACGATTGTATGAAGATTTGGTCAAAATTAAAGTCTAGTTTTTAAATTCATTAAGGTCTTATGAATCCTTACTTTGTATAACGACATTAAAACGGAAAAGAATTGTAAGATTTTAACAATTTTTATATTTAAACGAATTGAACGTGGTCAAGACGTGGTCTCTTATATTGACAACTTAAGATTTGGTCACAAAATCCTAATTTAAAGATGATTTCTTTTGTTTGTGTTCAAATTGCAAATAGACCACCGTGATCCTTAATGATAACCTCATATTATTTCAAACAAAATTTAACACATATGAACTAATTTGAGTTCTATAAAACCTGGATCATGTTTTTTCATTCTCCACTTTTTAACTTTATAGAATATAGTCATTTTTCATACCTCAATGTAAATGTTCACATATACAAATGACGCTATAAAATGTTCTTTTAATAACTTTATATTATCCATTTATGGTGTAACCTCCATATTTAACCAATACAGTACAGACGTCATGGACATCCTTTCTGAACATATTTCTCACTCTAAATTAAACCTTTTTAGTCGCGAATAGTAAAATCCTTCACATTACAAAGGTTATAACAAGACCTGTTGATTTCATCCATAAATATTTCTTACTTCGCCAGTAAATACACAGTACTTACATTTCATCTCTTCAAAGTTAAAGCGACCTGACTTACGTTAACGTAAACACATACGAAGTTAAATATTTTAACGCTTCTGAAATTAAGTAAAGGCACAGAGTAATGATTATACAGAAGGGTCACTCAGGTGTACAACGCGTCCTCATGTCGACCATTATTCCAGCCAGATGATTAGGATTTCTCACTTGTTTCCATGCATTAAAATTACATGACGTCAATACTGAATAATGAATTCGAGTACATTTTGACTTAAAAATAACTTCGGATCATTTTAAAGGTTTGGAAAAGTCACAAGCTCTAATCATCTTGCTGGAATAATGGCGGCCACCATGCGCGGCATGACATGCGCGAGGACAAAATCATCAAAGGTTCCGACACGAGTGACTCTTCTGTAATTTTTATACTGTGGTAAGGGTTAGAGCATGATCACGTGTGTTCTATGGGATTAAGAGTCCCGAGGATTAGATAGAGATAATTTTATCTAATGCGAGGGACTCCTAATCCCATATGACACAAGTGATTAAGCTCTAACCGTCTAACAACATAGCCAAAGCCACGAGGGATTATTTATGGTAGTGAATTTAAGGTCCTGTCTACACGTATCCGGATTTGTTTGTACCTGCAAACATTTTTTCAGGATTCAAATCTTTACGCGTCCACACGTATGCAAATTTCATGTGTTTTTGTGTGTCCACACGTATCTGCGAAAACGATACAAGTACCCAATTATTGCTTACAGAGCATGCGCTGTTACGAATAATAAGCTGACTATAAAATGTCGAATTATCCGATAAAAGCTAGTGCATCAAGGTCATCAAAGGTAAGAATGAAGCTTTTATGTTGACAGATGATGAAGTGGATCTTTTTCTGAGATCCGTTTTAGAATATAAAATAGCAAAAATGTTTAAGAACACATTTCTGACAACTGGTATTGAAAGGAGCTTTATCAAAACTGCTCTCCTCTTTCCATAATTCTTTTGATAATTTAAGAGTGCAAAAATAAATTGCATAAACGCAACATTGCTCGAAACTAGCACAGTTAAAATCAAAAGAATGACTTTAGGCGCCATTTTAATCCATAGGATAACGCATGATAAATGTGGATTGGATTGGGACAGCGGTGAGTAGGTAGATATTACATTTCATCGATTTACGTCAGCGTTTTTAGATCATTCCGGTTAAAGTGTGTCCTCACTTGTCTGGATTTGATGCGTTTTCAAAAGTTTCCACTCTGGAGACCGTTCAGAGAAGTTTGCAGTTACAGTAGGCGTTTTCGCTGGATACGTGTGTCATATTTGCGTTTAAAGTTTCTGAAGAGTATTTTTCAACAGAAAAAATATCGAAATCCTTTGGTAATTGATAAACATACGAAATCTCGACGAATTCTTGAACAAAGAACTCTGAATATTTATCGCTGTTGTATTGTTTCTGAGGTTGCAGTACATGAAGTAGCAATTGCTACTGAATAGTGTCGTCACGGTACAATTTATGTTTAAAAAACCTTTCTCTGTCTTTCACATATGCACTCAACCTTAGAGGAAACAGAATTTAAGTACAAAAAGACACGAATAATATTTCTTCTGTTGTATAATGACTCGATGACGTCAACATTTCAACACTGAAAGTGTATTTATACATTTAAGCATGATATTTACAACTTTTTAAATAAAGTAAATGTCAACTTTTAATGAAATTGTCTGTGAATTAATTTATAATCAAGGCGACAATAAATTCCTTTTAATACAACGAACGATGGTTCACATTCTATAAAACGAATAATATTACTAAAAGTATGATGAACTTAAGGCCTGTTTCAAAGGTCGAACTTTACATAAACCAAACGCCTTAAAGACGAAAGAAAATGAGATGAACTTCCTCATTATTTTTTGTTTTAAATACGTTCTGTTCATGTAAAGTTGGACGTTTGAACTAGACCTTAGACTGTCTTAACTACTTTAGAGCATATTACAAAATCACGAGTTATTTATGTTGTGGATTTTAAATTAGTTACGAGGAAATAATCCAGATAAATATTCGACAATTTCATTTATGAGAGTTAATGTTGAAATGACACGAAATAAATATCGTAATAAATATCAAAATATAAAAAGTCTAAATTAGAAGATTTTTACACTTTTTTCATATTATTGAAATATATTAATTTTAAAGAGCATCTTTATTCAATCGTACAAACTTTAGATCTAAACAGAAAATGTGAGAAGAAAAATTATGTTTAGTTATATTATAGTTTACTTTATAATTTAACGTTGTATTAAAAATTTTAGTTTATTCATAAAAAATTTAGATTATTTCTGTGATAACTTGGTATCATATATTGCCTAAAATAAAAGATGATTAATGTACTTACTGGTTTGAATTCTTTGCTTTTCTGCCATTTTCTGGATTTTTAAGCTGTAAAAAGAAAACATTTTTGAATCATTTTAGAAACAATCCGAGTTTAAAAATAGTAAATTATTAACACAGAAAGACGCAGATCTTTCAAAGAAAAAAGGAAGATAGAAAACATTTTGCCATTAACTGATTGATACATTGATATGTATAATATATGGATAGTATTCATTGTTAAAAATTTAACGTGAAGTTGTGCAGAGTGTATGCCCCACATTTCTTTAAATATATATTGACGATGTGATCATTTTCTGCTTTCATGAGCTTTATATGTTTCCTATCGCTTTTGTTGATCTTGGACATTTAAAAAACATGAAGTGATACTTCTAGTGAAAAAATCAGATCTGATTCGTGTTCATACATAGCTACTGAAAATGGGATGTATAAGCTTGTACAAGCCGAGAAAACATAACTCAAGGGGTTGAAATTCTTCCGCTCCGGTAGATCTTCCGCTTTACGGTCTTCTTGTCTAATTGATAAAAATTTATCTTGAATCAATGCTTTGTAAAAGGAATAAAAACGCGAAAACTGTGATTTTCTACAACAAAAGTATAGTAAAGTGGGTCCTACAGCCCCCCACGAAGGTCATAAGCAAATGCGCACACTTCCGGCTTCAATTTTCCTATATTTTAAACATGGTGCACTATCCATATATTATACATATCAAAGGATTTATACCTTACTTGTTGACGAAACACTGATTGTCTAAAAAATTAAGAAAGACAACCAATTGCAAACTATTTTATAACAGCCAATACGCAACGGTGAACATTTAACGAAATACGAAGGAGGGGAGAGAATGAGGAGACATGTGACTCAGTTATATGGAAAGGAAAAAATGTCCTTGAGTTTCTGTATCCAGAATATATATTTATCTATAGTATAGCTCATGTACTTCAAATGTTTTATAGATAAACTAAAACGTCCATTTCAATATAAGACAGTTTCATTGTTGCATACAGTACGTATAACATTTTAATAAGTTTAAAAAATCCACTATTCAGTGTAACGTAATCATGGTTTCGTGCTATAAACCATTGAACTAAAATACATCTGGAACGCTACCTGTAATAGAAAAGTCAAAAAAATTCTTGAAGCCAAATTTTACACCCAGACACGCGTGTGTAGTCCATCAATTTTCAGAAACTCGAAACACTACACACGCGTGTCTGAGTGTAATCTCGCGTGTCTGAGTGTAAGATTTGGCTTCAATTATTTGCTTCAGGTAACGTTTCATGTATTTTAATTCATTGCAACAAACACAACCCTGTGAAAACTCTATATTTATACACAACTTAACTTTATATACTCACTCTATTTGTTGGTGCTACAAATGCATCTATGACCAACCATTTTTGCGTCAAGATTTCAACATCTTTATCTGTCAGAGGTTCACGAATACGTAATTTGACTTCAATCTTTCCACCAATCACCTTGCGACCTTTCTCGGGATCCATAAGCTGCAATTGTAATTAAGTCCACTTACGACAGCAATCGTTCTTACGTACGTAAATTTTGAATGGAGATAACATGTATTTTAAGTGACATTACGTATGACGCGATAATCAAATAATGGAGGTCTAACTGGAAAACTAGTTCCAGTCCTTTTTCTGCCTTTACAGATCACGTGGCAGACATTAAGAAGATGGTGAAGTTTGAAATGCTACATTGGGTAAACATGCCTATATTTGTACAAAGCTTATACTATACGCGTATAGTTCGGCATTTTAGCTTACCGAAATGTTGTCTTCAAATTTTAGCGGTGGGTGGGCGACCAGTTATATATAGTTCAATGTTTTAAACACAGTTTCTGCAATTATTAATTCATAAAGTTCAAAAAAATACCACACATTACTTACATTAAGATATTCGTGAATTTCACATCTTTTATCAAACGGTGATAACTTAAGAGAAGCTTGACCCAGCGTCTTGTCTCCTTTCAGAAATCCTCTAAATGGTTTGAACATTTACTGACGATAAAAAATATTTCACATAATGTAAAACAATGAAACATCCATCTCACGTACGACAAACCTGTTGTATTTTATTTCAAATTTCACACTTTGTCGTCGAAATATTCACGCCAACGATCGGTTTTTTCTGTCGATAGATATCTTAAACTTTTGATCAAATTCTATACGAAAAAACAGCGTAATTGATAATCGATGTAGAATAATGAATTTAATGAGGGGGAAAGGTTCATCATCATCATCATCATGCAGTCAGTCGTAAGCGACGAGGACTGTTCTATGGTTGGATTGAAGCTCTCCAGGCCGGTCTGTTCTCAGCCAGTTGCTTCCAGGTTGTCACGTTGATGTCTCTCCTCTTTAGGTTTCGTTTCATGACATCTTTGAGTCTGAGTCGAGGTCGGCCTTGGTTTCGTTTCCCTTCTGCTAGTTGGCTGTACAATAGCTGGCGTGGTAAACGAGATCTCTCCATACGATGGACATGACCAATCCATCTTAAATTCTTTTGAATCAGCATGTCAGCCATGTGTGGCAGGTCAGTCAGACGGAGAATCTTAGCATTTGCGATCTTGTCCCGCCATGATATCTTCAGAATGTCCCGCAGTTGTCTCATCATATACGCACTCAGTTTCTTCACTTGAAGCCTGTAGATTGTCCATGTCTCTGCTCCATAAAGGAGTGTTGTCAGCACCACCGCCTGATAGACCTTGGCTTTAACTCTGGTCGAGACATGCTTATTTTGCCACAGCCGATCGTTTAGTTGACTGAACGCTGCACTCGCCCTTCCCATTCTGTTCCTCAGCTCCTTTTCAATCTTAGCATTGCTGGAGATTGTACTACCCAGGTAGTTGAAGTCTGTGGTCTGGACAAGAGGCTGTCCGTCTATGGTGATTGCACAGGGTTTTGGGGGAGGGAGTAGAAGCTTTACTGGCTGGTAGAGGCACTCAGTCTTTTTGATGTTTATCTTGAGGCTAAACATAGCGGCAGCTTGTGCAAATTTGTCCACCAATGCCTGCATCTCTGCTGCACTGTGAGCAACCAGAGCACAGTCGTCTGCAAAAAGCATATCTCTGACAAGCTGACGTGTTGTGCGTGTCTTTGCTTTGAAGTGTGAGGCGTTGAATAGGTTCCCATCATGTCTAGTCTGGATGTAGATACCTTCCCTTGTGTCCTCGAAGGCAACCTCCAGCATGGCAGCCAGGTAGAATGAGAACAGTGTCGGAGCCAGCACACACCCTTGCTTTACACCTGTTGAGACAGCGAATCCCTCAGAGCAGTCGCTCCCACGAGTGACTTTAGCTTGCATTCCTTCGTGAAACGCTTTCACGAGATTGATAATCTTATCAGTACAGCCAAACTTTTTCAGTACTGCCCACAAGCCGCCTCTAGGGACAGTGTCAAAGGCCTTAGTAAAGTCTATGAAAACTGCATAGAGGGGCATATTCTGTTCAGTGCATTTCTCCTGAACCTGTCGTAGGCTGAATATCATATCCATGGTACTCCGCCCACTCCGAAATCCACTCTGGGTCTCAGGAATTACTCTGGGACTTATCATTTCGTTCAGACGATTGAGGAGTATTCGAGCCATCACCTTCCCAGCGATTGAGAGTAGAGAAATGCCGCGATAGTTGCCGCACTCTACGACTGCCTTTCTTGAATATAGGGACTATATTCGCGTCCTTCCAATCTTGTGGAATCTTCTCTCCTATCCAGGAATCTCCGATCACATCTAGCAGCCTCTCTTTGAGTGTTGTACCACCATACTTCCATACTTCTGCAGGTATCCCACAACATCCAGGAGCTTTGTTTTCCTTAGTTGCTGCGATCGCCTTCAGAAGTTCATCCATCTTTTGGGGCTCATCCAGTACGTGGACTGTTGGACGTTGGGTGATGCTCGCAAGAGCAGCACTATCCACGTTTCCAGGCAGATTTAACAACTGGTCGAAGTGCTGAGCAAATCTTTCCAGCATCTTCTTGTTGTCTGTCAACACAGTCTCTCCATCAAGAGCGAGCAGTTGGGCAGTACCTCTCTTTTGTGGGCCATATACTTCTCTAAGACCTCCATAGAAGGACTTCATGTCGTTTTCTGCTGCGGCGTGCTGCAGTTCCTCTGCTTTAGTCTCCCACCACTGAGACTTCTTCTGTCGGGTGTACTTCTGTAGTTTGCTGCGTGCTGATGCAAGGTTTGCCCTGGTAGACCTGGTGTTTACAGTCAGCTGTCTTGCTTTTGCCTGGTTCCTCTCCTCTAGTAGTCTGTTTAGCTCCTCGTCTGTTTCGTCAAACCAGTCCTGGTGCTTGCGTTTCGGTTTGCCTAGGATTTCTTTTGCTGTATTAAATACTGTATCCCTTAACGTCTCCCACTTCCCTACAACATCCGAGTCTCCTGTTGTGCTCTGCTGTAGTGATGTTGTCATACTTCTCTGAAAGTCTTTGCGCACGCTGTCACACTTCAGTCTGGCCACGTTGAGATTGTACCTGTGCTGTCCTCCAGTTTTCTTGACTTGTTTCCTTAGTGAGAAGGCGATTTTGGACAGCACCATGTTATGATCTGTGTTGCAATCAGCCCCTCTAAATGCTCTGGTGTTGACTATGTCCCTCTGGTCTCTCTGCCTAGTGATCACGTAGTCGATGAGGTGCCAGTGCTTAGACCTCGGGTGCATCCATGTCGTCTTGTGGGTGTGCTTATGCTTGAAAACAGTGTTGGTAATCACCAGACCATATTCAGAGCACAAGGCTAGAAGAAGTTCTCCATTGGTGTTGCACTTGCCCACGCCATAATGTCCCAATACTCCAGGCCAGTTTTCCACTTCATCTCCAACTCTGGCATTTAAGTCTGGGGAAGGTTCTAGCATATCAAAAAAGCTTACAACCACAACATTGGATATTATTGACGTCTCGAGAACTGAAGTATAACGACCATTCTGTCCCTTGTAAAAATACTCCTCCCCAGTCCCCATTGCCACTCCAAAAACCACAACATAGGATATTAATGACGTCATGAGTACATAAGTAACACGACCATTCTGTCCATAGCATTGCAGTAAAATACATGTAACGCTACCTGTAATGCAAAACCCTAATAATTTTTTGAAGCCGTGAATTTACCCACGACACGCGAGACTTTACCCCAGACACGGGTGTGTAGTCAATCAATTATTATTCCGCGAGAGAATCTCAAAACACTGGCCGTCCAGTTATATATAGTTCAATGTTTTAAACACAGTTTCTGCAATTATTAACTCATAAAGTTCAAAAAAATACCACACATTACTTACATTAAGATATTCGTGAATTTCACAATTTCACGCGTGTGTAGTCAATCAATTATTATTCCGCGAGAGAATCTCGAAACACTAAACACGCGTGTCTGGGGTAAAATCTCGCGGGTCTGGCGTAAGATATGGCTTCAATTATTTGCTTGAGGTAGCGTTCCACGTATTTTAGTTCAATGGTCCATAGTAAATCAACTCCTTCCCAGTTCCCACTCACCCTCAATACAAGATCATGCAGGGATCCAATGCTGTACGATATCATTCATTTCGAATAAAACTTACCAGGATTAATGTTTTGTTTGATGGTTTCCGTGAAGCCAGTTTGAGGTTGATCCTAAAGTTGAGTGATTTTAAAATTTAGTGTAGATAAATAACATTGATTTAAGAAAAAGTGAGAAAGTGTTTGTTAAATGAGCAAAATTTGTCGTTTGCAAAACATAGAATTTGTTCAACGGTAATGAGAACAACTGCTGAACAATGATTTTATTGTCTAACAAAATTGTTAACAATGCTTCCATTGTTTGTCACAATTGCTCGTTCTTGTGTTGAGTCTAATCATGCAAAGATGTCTATTCACAGTCATGTTGGTGAATCATTGTAGTGTGAATGTGATTTTTTTTATAAAATAAACACAATGAAACACGTGCGCTGATTGGTCTAGAGTCGTGTTTGCATTAAACTGTGCAAACGGTCTCGGGCTTGCACTGATTCGCTCTCAAAGGTCTACTTGGTTTGCATAAGCCTGTGCAAACACAGTAAACATCTTTTATTTCTTAAATGAAACATAAACCAACTTACGTTTGGAAAGGGAAATTCATAGGACACATACACTTTCATATCGTCTTTGTTGTAACCTTGAAGTATAATGAAATTTTTTAAAGATTGATTTTTAAGGTTTATAGATGTATGTATCAGATCAAACATTCATTGCTTGACCTGACACTTATTAATCCTCTAGACACCTTATTAATCCACTATATTTTATCCTAAATCCTAAGCACAAAAGATTTTAATCCAATTCAACAATAATGAAGAAAAGACATATCTACCTGAAGGAAGTGGAATATTGATGCATTTGACGATTCTTAATTCACAATCCTGGTCACCCAAATCTGTATTCAATCTGTCAGGTTGAAAACAAATAAACATAAAATAATTATGTTAGTGTTCGTTGGCTAAACTGTCAGGTTGAGAATAAAATAAAGATAAAATAATTATGTTAGTGTTTGTTGGCTAAACTGTCAGGTTGAGAATAAAATAAACATAAAATAATTATGTTAGTGTTTGTTGGCTAAACTGTCAGGTTGAGAATAAAATAAACATAAAATAATTATATTAGTGTTCGTTGGCTAAACTGTCAGGTTGAGAATAAAATAAACATAAAATAAATATGTTAAGGTTTGTTGGCTAAACTGTCAGGTTGAAAATAAAATAAACATAAAATAATTATGTTAGTGTTTGTTGGCTAAACTGTCAGGTTGAGAATAAAATAAACATAAAATAATTATGTTAGTGTTCGTTGGCTAAACTGTCAGGTTGAGAATAAAATAAACATAAAATAATTATGTTAGTGTTTGTTGGCTAAACTGTCAGGTTGAGAATAAAATAAACATAAAATAATTATGTTAGTGTTTGTTGGCTAAACTGTCAGGTTGAGAATAAAATAAACATAAAATAATTATATTAGTGTTCGTTGGCTAAACTGTCAGGTTGAGAATAAAATAAACATAAAATAAATATGTT